GGGGGGATAATGCATTGTGTACATCATTGTGTACACAACCCAAAAAAAAGTCTCCGCAAGGTGCCCGAGTCCTATCCGTGCAACGCGGACACCGTGTCCGTGCTGCGCGGAGACTTTTTTTTCCTTTACAATGCATTTTCACTAAAGTTCCAACTTTCTAGGTGTATATATATGTATTTGAGTTTGCTTGTTATTTGTTTTTTCTGTTAATCCTGGGATGATTTATTTGATAGTTTAAGGTTAAGTTTGGAGGCTTATTCTCAATGAACTTATTACATGAGATGTTTACCCTTTTATTTGACTTGAGTTACTCTTCTTCCTTTCTGGTTTTCCTTGTCACTATAGTTGTGTATGTTCATGGATTGTTTGGGTGACTATTGCCAAGTATTATTTGGCTTCTGCCTTATGTAAGACTGTCTTAGGTATTAGTTATGGAGCTGCATTCTTGTCAATTAGACTGTACTTTATCATTGAAGAACTTCATCAAAAAGTTTGCTCATAAAAAATCGTGGTTATGTAGCTTACCTTTAGCAAATTACGGTAAAAAATCTTGTTTTGAAGTTTTTTGAAAAGCAGCGGGAACATATCAAAGAGCATGCTTGGGGTGGTCTACAAGCATTCTTATAAGCCACCCTAAACATGCTCCAAATACTTTAATTCATATAGTTTAAAATTTTCTATAACCATGCGCTTTTGTGAGGTCCCCCTTAATGGGCCACAAAGGAGAGAATGTGGTGCTTTATTTGGGTATTTTTGTAAATTTGAGGAATAAAACTGCGTAACCGTATTCCTTCACTCGAGGGCTTCTTTCTTGCTGTTTGTCATGTTTGACACGTGTGTCTATCAGTGCTATAGGTGAGGATTCGTGCTTTTGCAGGACATAAGAGAGTTGAAAGAGTCAGTTTCGAAATCTTATCTCGATCAGCTCAGTGAGTTGTGCCGATCTTTGGAGGCTAAAGAGAAGGAACTAGCAGGTTTAAATAGAATTTCTGCTGAACAAAAACATGGCATTGAAGACCTTAATGAAAGACTTAGTGCATCTGTGCAGTCCGGTGATGAAGCTAATGAAATAATTAATAGGTGAGAGTTACAATAATCTTGAAGGTCAAATTGATGGAAAATTCTACCGTTGATTATAATCTGCTTTCTTACTTTCATTAGGTTCTGTGGGTCATGCTTAAAGAAGCTTCCTTACTCTTAGCATTTGCAAGAATATTTTAATTTATTACCAGGACTTTCTACTGCCCTTTGCTCAAGACATAAGAAAGCGAAGGTCCATTTTCTAGTCAAAGTTCACCTGGGTTCTTGTGGGAAGGGTGGGAATGCTTATCTGGTTTTTGTTGTTTGCTTTTCTAAATTTAAGACGTTTGAGAAAATAATAGCCAAACTAACTACAGGGCCAGTGAGAGTATCCTTTTGGTAATTATAGCACATCTTTACTTCTTATGTAGATATTGCAAATTGGCTCAAATCTCAACATTCTACATCAAAATCGTTGTGTTATTTTTTATGAAGAAAGCAAAGAGAAGCAATATTTTCAAGGTGCAAGGATAGATTTTAATTTATATTTGTTTGGTTCAGCCAGCAGACATCTATCTCTGAATTAAAAGCCTTATTAGATGAAGAGTGTGATCAGAGAAGAGAAGAATGAGAGAAATTTGCAGTAGATTTGAAAGCATCAATACGGAGAGTTCAGGCTGAGGCTGAGGAGGAAATAAAACGAATATCAGATGCTGCATTGAGACGAGAGAAAGAGCAGCAAGATGTTATAAATAAGCTTCAGGTAGAAATTTTTGATTTATTTTCTAATTGTTGCTTTTCCATGTTTCTGCCAATTAGTTATTACCTGTTTTGTTGTTTGTGATTCCAGGAAGCAGAGAAGGATATATGTTCATTAGTGGAAACTTTGAGGTCCAAATTGGTATGTTATAATTATACATTATTCTCATCATTTGTCAATATCTCATCTTGGAGTATAATCATGTTTCTTCTGATAATAAAGTTCGCCAACTGGAGGCTCAAATTCGAAAGAAGCAGCGTGCTTTTGCCAGCAATAGAAAAGTATACTTGCTTCCTGTTGCCTGCTTTGAGAATCTACTATCTAAACTGTTATTTATGGCTTGTCGATCTATCTACATGATCCTATCATTTCTGCATATACTTATTTTTAACATTAATCAATTAACGTGCAACGCACATTCATTCCACTAGTAATACAAAAAATTCCTATCACAACTCAAGCTAGATATTAAGTTCGTGGCCGCTTCATTATACATAACCATACTGATAAACGATAAAACTCATAAACAATAAAATCAAGCAAATATTGACTCGTTTATACATAAATTAAATGATATTGACACATCAAGTTCGATTTTTTCACTAGCAACCACCACAAAAATTCTTATGAACCCTATCATAAGTCTTTCTTAAAACACTTCATTTAGCAGCACGTATCATGAAATCAACTTAAAGTATTTTCAACAATAAGCACCATTTAATTGATATTAAACATCATCATCGTTATTGTGCCTCATCTTGAGCGTTAATAGCAAACTTGACAAGCCTTTCAAGAAAATCTGCAGTAGAAAGTAACATATTTCTAACTTGGGTTATTTGTTTTATACTTTCCACAATTAATAATTTACTAGAAATACCATTAAAATATTCGTTGCAATTCACTAATTGGTAATCAACTGGCTTAAAGCAAAAGCAAGTTATGCAGGATATAATAATAATAATAATAATAATAATAATAATAATAATAATAATAATAATAATAATAATAATAATAAAAGAAACTAAAAAACTAATCAGATAGTGCTAGAAGAGAAAGATCATTCTTTTCTTCTCGTATTCTGGATTGAGAGAAAGATAGAGAATTGAATTGTCATTAGACAGTGCACATAATATTCACAAGCACAAATTGAAGGGGTGGGGGTGGGGGGATATGAGAATATAATCTGAAAAAGGAAATATGAAGGGGCAAAATTTATAGTTATAATTACCGTTTCACCATCATCTCGAGTGGCTCCAGTGGAATTTATGTAAAGGTAAATTGGCTTTTGGATCCATCAGACACAGCAAGCAGCATCTACATTTTTCCCAAGTTCAGAAATGTGTCCTCTAATACCTAACTCAGCCTCTTTGAATTATTTGATTACTTACAAATATTTATTATCAAACTAATACCTAATTCTCTTTAAAAGAATGAAGAAGCAGTTGTCAGGAGCCTCCAGCAACAATTAAGCTTAGAAATTTACTCCAATATGAGAATCATATAATATTTATCTATCACTCCTTAATGCTTAATATTCATGGTGCAAAACCTACAATAAATCCAGTTACAAGTCCTAAACGACTAGGTTTATCAATTAATCAAATTTGATATGTGGATATTAACCAGATGTAGTACTTAAACCTCAAATCTAACAGGTTCAAAAATAAAATAGGTGGAAGAAGGAATTATCTTAATGAATTGTGACCTCAAAGTGGAAAACACCTTTATTCTAGAAGCCTGAGTGGAAACAAATTTTATGAGAAAATTTTGTTATATGTTAGACATTATGGCAGATTTGGTTACTCATTGTTCCTTGCTTGAGCTCCTACCACAATATTGCAGCCAAGAAAATTAAAGGGAACAGGGACCCAGTGAAAGGCCAACATTTTTACCGGCATGCCAATGTAAACTATTCTCCCGGGGAGCAGCAATGAGGGCAAGTCTGGTGGAGGTCTCCTTGGCCTGTGTTCATAGTACGAAACTGATCACTCAACCTGTTTAAACCAACAAAAATGGGTAAACTGAGTGATGAAGTAAATACTGACATAATCATGGAATTTTATTCACTTAAGAAATGTTAAATAAGTCATAACAAACAAACTGAATGTGCAGAAATTCCATTGGGAAAAAATTTAATAGTAAAATTCATAAGTTCTCTACCGTAAACCTTGAAACAGCAGAAGACCATCAAGAAAATTGACCTTAAATCAATAAATATTCACGGGATAACGAGGGAAAAGGAATTATCGAGTCGGAAAATAATAATAAACCGTCACAACTCACGAGATTAGGAATTTCATCGACTAAGTAAATATTCCTAACCAATATTAAGAATACAAAAATACATAAGAAGTGTAGAAGCCAAGTAAAAACATGGGTACTTGGGAAGGAGTAGCCACGAGCTTGGGAGAGTCAAAGATGTCCAAATACGGCGGCGTATCTGAGTTTTTCTGACTATTGAGGAGTATTTCAGGTGAAGTGGAAGCAACAGAAACGGGCTACGATAGAAAGGGGTCCTTAAGGTTAACCAGGCATGGGAATTTTAGTACTGTTCATTGAACATAGAGTCCTGATAGTACGTCGTTTGAGCGAAGGGGGTGAGGATGAAGAACAGGGGAGTGAAGAAGCCATTGGTATTCGCAAGCAAATAGCCATTCGTTTGAGTTTATAATTTACGGTTAGCACAGAAATTTCAGTTTGTGGTTTTTTTCTGTCTGTAACAACTTTCATTAACGTGACGAAATTTGCTTCTATCAAAATTTCATGAATCAAATACTCCATATGTGTTTCTATATATAAAAAGTGTCCATTTAACGGAATTTGTTGGTTTAACGGAAAAACTAACGGAATTTGTTGTTTTAACGGATTATGTAACGGAATTTCTTGTTTTAAACAGGCAGTTGCACCTTATTTCAGTATTTTTATCATAACTTTATATTCCGATATTCGATTGAGGCGATTCAAAATGCGTTGGAAAGCTAACCCATCTGGCTACAACTTTGATTCAAACATCATTCTCCAATTCGATCACTTTCTATGCCAAAAATATGTCTCAATATAACGGACTATGTAACAGAATTTTTTGTTTTAAACAGACAGCTGCACCTTCTTTCAGTATTTTTATTATAACTTTGTATTTCGATATCCGATTGAGGCGATTC